CCCATGTTATATCGGGTGGAATTGATTTTGAAAGAATTTTAGCTTTCAAACTAAAGACTGCGTCTATCGTCAGAAAGTATTTACTTACAAAGAAAGAGGTGCTAATTTTACAAAATTGACTTGTATTGTTCAAAGCCGCTACCACATCACGCGACTATGTCTAATCTTTACAAGTTATTATCCACGACTGGCAGGATGCGTGTCGGTCGGTACGTAAGTATAATAACAATATGACAATAGTCGGAAGCGTTTCCGCGGTGGTCGCTAATTATGAGTGCCAGTCAGGCCGACCAGCGTGACGAGATCCCCCAATGAAAAGAAGCACTGTGGCGGTCTTGCTAATCACCGTGGCGGTGTCAGACCGGTGTGGCAGCAAATCGAAGCACTGTGGCGGGACCGCCACGCTGTTTACCTCCTGGGGAGAACACTGTTAAAGGCAGAAGTTCATGATGTCACAACATGGGCACTTGTGATGACTTTCCACTGTATAAGATATTCACTACAGTTTCATAAAATAATTGAGAACTTTCTTAGTTTCTAATGAGACACAGGTTTATTGATTATATAACATGCATAGTTTGTTGATTTCAGTGTAGTATATAAGGGCTCTGTTTCCAAGTATTTAAATTTAAATCAGCTCGCCTGACATTGTGGCATGTTATATTTTTAAATTAATTACCTAAAATCTGTATTTTAGGCATCAGGGTAGAGTGAAAGACCTTAATTTGTTTCTAAAATAGGTGTCACGAAATGTTGAAAAAGTACAGTCAATCAAAAATGACAAAAGTACTCAGTATATTTAATGTAATATATATTGGTTTTAATTTTGTTGGTAACAAAAAGTATAGTCACTTGTTTTACAAGTGAATAAATTTGTTTCCGTAGACAAATTGAGCTGTAATGTTGAAGAGATTTACCAATGTTGTAGTACAATGTTTTGATATTGATTTTTGTGGGAAAACTGCATGATTTTTTTAAATCAAGAAATTGGTAGTTTACTGAGCATTGAAGAATTAAATACTTTTTACAGTGATAACAGCTCATTTTACGTTATCAACCACCAGAATCCAATTATTTAATTATTTTCCCATGACTTCAAAAAACCCACTTCCTGTCCAATTCAATGTAGCTCATAAGAAATTTTTTTTATTTTTTTTGAAGGATTTAAGTAGTTCTGTCGAAACTCGATCACAATTCCAGCGATGCTTGATGACTTGGATGCATCCTTCAATTCCTTGGCTTAAATTGTTCCCAAGACTCAATGGTGAAATCAAACAAAGCAGGTAAGTAAACTTCTCAAATCACGATCACACGCATATTAATTACTTAACATGAAATCAGAGCTATGCAGAGTCCATATAGCGTTAGGAAAATCCTTTGAAAGTCTTTGGA